CCAGCCAGGCCCAGTTCCTGTAACCATTCTTCATATATTTTAGCCTCCAGTCCCCTCATCATCCTGGTTGCTCTTCTCTGCCCTCTTTCTAGAGTCTAAACCTCTTTTTTATAGTGTGGGGACCAAGACTGGATGCAGGATTCTAGGTGTGGCCTTACTAAGGCTTTACAGAGTGGTATTAGGACCTCCCTTGATCTTGACTGTATCCCTCTGTTAATGTAGTTTAGGATTGCATTGGCTTTTTTGGCTGCTGCCACACATTGTTGGCTCCTATTTAATTGGTTGTTTACTAAGACTCCAAGATCCCTCTCACTGCTATTAAGCCTGGTGCAGCATTAATGGGACATTGCTCTCCTGTCTCCCCTGGTCCTTCTCTTCCCTAGACCAGCCATGGCCAGTTCCTGCAACTGTTCATCATCTGTTTTGGCTTCCAGTCCCCTCATCATCCTGGTTGCTCTTTTCTTCACTATTTCTAGAGTGTCAACATCTTCCTTCCTTCCTTCCTTCCTTCCTTCCTTCCTTCCTTCCTTCCTTCCCTCCTTCCTTTCCTTCTGATCTCGGAGCAACAACCTGGGATGGGGAAGCCACCTTGACGTACAGTCCTGTGAAAAAATCTGAGGGAATCTGCACAGCCTCATCCTTGTTTTCTAGAATGTTCCTTGGCCTCCCTAGGTTTTTTCTGGAATTATAAATGGAGGTTCGCTTTGCCCCAGAGCTGGGAAAGGTCACAGATGATGCTTACAAAACCCTGGGAAGCTGCAACTGGTGACAGCTCCTCGTTTAGTGTCCCACGTTTACAACGACCATTAAAAACGTGACTTCCAATCGGTCCTCGCACTTACAACCGATGCAGCTTCCCCACAGTCACGGGATCAGGATTAGGTCGCTTGGTTCAGAAAGATTACCAGGTCCAAACAGAAATACATGCTATTTCCATTTATTTTTTTAAAAAAGGAAGATAAAGCAGGAATGGTTGAATTGATGAGTCAAAAAGGAAAATATGTATGTTTCAGCACGTTTTTTCCCCTTGGAAATCACTTCTGGACTTTGTGCTTGGGGTGAAAAAGAAAGTGAAACGTTGACTTTGGTTCTGTTGATCCGAATGTTTTGACGTCATAGAAACGGATGGTTAAATATTAATGTGTAAAAGCAAAAAAGTGGAGGCTGGAGTGTTTTTAATCTTGTACCAAACTACAAGTCAGAAGTCAATGCCTTTCTCCTCCTTTTTTCTCCTTGAATCTCACACCTCCTTTTCCTTCCCTTCATTTCCTACTTCTATTTTGTTTTCTTTGTATTTTATATGATTAAACGAATATTTGTTTTTTTAAAGTTGCTTGGCCTCGAACTCGTATTTACGATGGTTGTAGCATCCTGGGATCATGCAATGTCCCTTTGCACCCTTCCCAGCCAGCTTTTGACAAACAAAGTGATTGAAAGACCGCCCGATTCGCTTAACAACTGCAACAATTCCGTTAACAACCACAGGGGGAAAAGACGGTAGAATAGGGCATAATTGCTTTAGCCACCGCCTTGCTTAACGATGGAAATACTCCTCTCTGTTTTGGTCATGACTGCCTGGGAGTTCCTTCCCTGAGTAACTCCGTAGTGCCGAATTGGACGGAGGTTTACGTAATGTTAATTTACAGAACGGCAGCTTCCTCGGGGACTTGACTTTCCTGGTTCAAGGTTCAGAATACTTTCTGTCCTTCAGGAATGCTGTCCTCTCCAATTACTGGTTGGGTGGCAAGTAGCATCGTTTGGCTTGTAGACGTCCAGGAGAGGTTGGCTGCTCCTTCTTTCAAGAAGAGACTGGAGTACCATCTGCCAGAAATGGTGTAGGTTCTCCTGCTTGGGCGGGGGGTTGGACTAGATGACCTACAAGGTCCCTTCCAACTCTCTTAAGCCATATCTGATTCATAAAGAAGCCAAAGATGGTATGATTAAATGGATGCAAAATACAAACTAGACAGTAAATTTCTACAGAGCCGTTTAATCCCCAAATCCCAGCATTGAGAGAGCACAGTGGCTAGATTGAGGTATTGCAGTCTAATTCTGCCGACTGACAGCAGTTCGATCCTGACCGGCTCAAGGTCGACTCATCCTTCCATCCTTCCGAGGTGGTGAAATGAGGACCCAGATTGTTGCGGGCAAGAGGCTGATATTTGTAAACCGCTTAGAGAGGGCTGGAAAGCAGTGTGAAGTAGTATGTAAGGCTAAATGCTATTTTCCTTCCTTCCTTCCTTCCTTCCCTCCCTCCCTCCCTCCCTCCCTCCCAGTGGCCACAATGCATTATTGCAGGCTAATTCTGGCTATTGCCAGGAGTTCAATTCTCACTGACTCAAAGTTGACTCAGCCTTCTGTCCTTCCAAGGTGCGTAAATTGAGGACCCAGATTGTTAGGGGGCAAGAGGCTGACTCTGTAAACCGCTTAGAGAGGGCTGGAAAGCACTGTGAAGCGGTATATAAGTCTGAGTGCTCTTGTTATTAACTGTCAGTTGGACTCAATGCCAAATCGGGCAAAGGTGCCATAAATTGCCAATCAATCAATAAGCCCCCCCCCCCCCCCGGACGAACTCAGCTGGCGGGTTGCCTCCTGCGAGCGGTGCCATGCCTTTGAGACAAAAAGAAGTTTCAAAATCCAGATTTTATTTGTGAATCGAATCAGGGAAGTCCCAGCCAGCTGCGTCTTCGGCTACTTAGGTCAGCTGAGTTTCTCCTGTAAGGAGCCCAAGTGAGTCATCTCTTTCGTGGGAGCAGAAAATAAGCGGAGCTGAAACTCGCCGGGCAAGAAACTCAACAAATCAGGTGCATTACCACACCTTCCGCCCTCTGCTACCTGGAGGGGAAGTTTCTTCAGTTCACGAACAGCGACGCGAGCATTTGCAAGCCAGTGCACACCCACCGGGATCCAGACCTTATCTGCAAAAGGGATTTTCACAATTTTTGGCAGTGCAATTCTTACGGTTTTGTTTAGACGTGTATAAGGTAAAAGGTAAAGGTTCTCCTCGCACGGATGTCGTTCCTGACTCTAGGGGGCGGTGCTCGTCTCTGTTTCAAAGCTGAAGAGCCAGTGCTGTCCAAAGACGTCTCCATGGTCATGTGGCCGGCATGACTCAACGCCGACGGCGTATAGAACGCTGTTCCCTTCCCACCAAAGGTGGTTCCTATTTTTCTACTCACATTTTATTATGTGCTTTCAAACTGCTAGGTGGGCAGAAGCTGGGACAAGTCACGGGAGCTCACTCCATTACACAGCACTAGGGATTCGAACCGCCGAACTTCCAACCTTTCTGATCAACAAGCTCAGCGTCTTAGCCCCTGAGCCACTGTGTCCCTTAGACGTATATAAAGGAAAAGGATAAAAATACGTCTACCCAAGCAGTCTTCAACATACGACCACAAATGAGACAAGTTGTTATGCCCATTCCGCCCCATTTTACGACCTTGCTTGCCGCCATTGTTAAGCGAATCACTGCAGTCATCAAATTAGTCACACGGTTGTTAAGTGAATCTGGCATCGTAAAAGGGGATCACATGACCTGGGGACACAGCAACGGTCATAAATGCGAAACAGTTGGCAAGCCTCTGAATTTTGATCATGGGATCGTGGGTATGCTGCAAAGGGCATAACTGTGAAAAAAGGTCATAAGTTGGTGCCGTTTGAATGGTCACTGAATGGACTGTTGTAAGTCGAGGGCTATCTGTATAGAGATATTGGGAGGAAAGATTCATCAAAGTGAATTTTAGTACAACCTTGTTATTTGAAAAGATTATAAAGCTTGTTATTTCAAAAGATTACAAACTAATCGTGGTTTATGGTTTCTATTTCTCGCTCTTACCAAACCCAGCTTAGGTTGTGAGTTTTCTGGATAGTCATTTTTTAATTCAGGACAATCTTGTTGTGGCCGGCCAGTGGAGCTGGCAGCAGATTCGGACAGTGAGGAGGGTTAGGGAGGAACCTGAGCCAGTCCTGGAATCTGGGGAAAGCTCTGGTGAGGGCTCTGTGTCGGAGGCAGAGAGGGGGCCAGAGCCGTATGCTAGTTATCAGCTGCCTTCGGAGTCAGATACCAGTGAGGCAGAAGAACAGCTGGAGCCTGTTCCCAGTGTCCGCATGCGCAGAGTTGCCAGACGAAGGGAACAGCTAAAGAACAGGGGTCGACTCCAGAGTAAGTGAATGGCCCCTCCCAGAGAAAATAAAAGGGGAGCGACAGGGGAGTGGAGTTTGCAGGAGACCATTAGTTCATTCCTGCATTCTTGCCAAGTATTGCGTCGTCTGAAAGATATCGGCCTGGCCACTCTCCAAGCCTGATAAAGGTCGGTAATTGGGAACTATCTTGAAAGACTGTGGGAGAGGAAAGACTTTGCTGGAGAGGAACACACTGTCAATTCAATAAAAGGGGTTTATCGGGACGAGGACTCGGCTTCGGGCTGCTGGGGAAGCTCAGGTCAGAAGAAATCTAAGCTAGCGAATAAGCACTAAGAGTTCACAAACCTCCCTGTCCGTAGGTTGCAAACCATGATTTATATAGTTTGGCGCAATATGTGAATCTACCCAGAGGTGTTTTCCTGGATGTCTCTGAGACCGTCTTCGGAGTTGCAAGTCAGACTGTCTTGTTTAATTAAGCCATTTCTTTTTACCACTCTGGTTGAAACCCGTGACTCTTTGCCCAATTTTTCATTTCCTGTTTCTGCTGTGCGTGGTTTTCAACAGTGAATCACAGTTTTCGCCGAGAGTTCTTCCTGGTTGATGCTGACCTCTCTGTGCCTCCTGGGCAAGCCCAGCCTCGCTGGACCAGAAGTGGACAATGGGCAAAATTGGGCGGGCGCATTTAACTGGTTATTTTTCCAGAGGGAAGCAAAGAGCAGAGCGATTTCTGGTGCCCAGCAAATTTGGGATGGAATCTGCATTCAGCTCGGATTTTCTGTCTGTTTGAATGGGAGCCTGTTTGACCCCCAAAAACCTGTGTTTTTGGAAGTTGTGTAGGAAGCCACACACCCCCGTTTTGAGTTGGAATAAGAATCGGAAGCTGTAGGAAAAGGATATTGAAGGATCACCATGGCAGGCTGCCAAGTTTTACAGAGAAATATCTTGATTTTTGGTCTCCTCTCTTTAGGGTCCCTGGTCCTGGGTGAACTCCCATCGGTAATCGAAGTCCGCGAGAATCAAGGTAAGTTTCACACCTGTGTTTGGCCCTCTCTCCTTTTTATCGTGAAATAAAACAAAATCAAATGTGATGATAAAATTAGGCAGTTGTTTCTATCTTCTTTAATCTAATGATGTATATATTAATTGAATAATAAACTAAATGAAAATATTATGAATAAATTTATATGGTTATTTAAACAAATGTACTAATTTAATTTAATGTATCATTTACGCAAAATAGATTTATATAATTACGCACCAGAGACATATTCCTTGGGTGTCTAATCACACTTGGCCAATAAAGAATATTCCGTATTCTATCATAGAACTTTCTTCTGGAGAGGGAAGAGAGGGGGAGGAGGAGGAGGAGGAGGAGGAGGAGAAGGAGAAGGAGAAGGAGAAGGAGGAAAAGGACTGTGGGCTCCTTGGTGCTCTCTGAGCTTGGTTGTTTTCTTGCAGACATTTCATGACCCAACTAGGGAACTTCATCAGTGCTAGAAGAGAGAAGGGTGTGCAGACAGGAAGAGGAGGAGGAGGAAAAGGACTGTGGGGCCCTTGGTGTTCTCAGCTTGGCTGTTTTCTTGCACATTTCTTCATCCAAACCAGATAAATTAGGTAATGATGTTATCATGAAACGTCTGCAAGAAAACCACCAAGCTTAGAGAGCACCAAGGACCCCACATTCCTTTTCTTCCTCCTCTTCTTCCTCCTCCTCCTCCCTACAAATCCCTCCCTTGTAGCACGCATGATGTTCCTTACTTGGGTCATGAAACCTCTCCAAGAAAACCACCAAGCTCAGAGAGCAGCAAGGGCCCCTCATTTCAACCCTGAGCTACAAATATTCTCCTTTATTGGCACGGTCTTAAGTGCAAGGATCCCTCTCAATCCCTTGTTTAACTTTGAGTGGTCACTAAACAATAGTCGTATGCCAAGGACTAGGCGTAAATCCATAGAAAGGATCTGTGGGCCCTTCCCCAAAGATATTTCTGTGTCCTCCCTGCGTCAGTTGCTACAAGTGGGCAAATGTGCTGCCGTAGGAATTGTTGGCCAGCAAGTTCAGGCTTTGAGTGCTGTTTGCTCCAAGTTTGCTCAGAGGAGGCTGGTGCAAAATGCCTGGCTTGGCTTAAGGGTCTACTTAACGTCGACTCACCTGCAACTCCGTAACTGGCCGGCAAAAGAACTGCCACGGCGGATTAACTGTGGTGGAAGTCTTGGGTTTTGCAAAGCTTTGTTGATGTATTTGGCCGAAGGAAGGGAATAAAATAGGAGCTGGGAGGGACCTTGGAGGTCATCTAGTCCAGCCCCCTGCTCAAGTAGGAGACCCTATATACCATTTCAGACAGAAGGCTGCCCAATCTCTTCTTGAAAACCTCCAGAGATGGAGAAGGAAGGAAGGAAGGAAGGAAGGAAGGAAGGAAGGAAGGAAGGAAGGAAGGAAGGAAGGATAGCAGATTAACAGTGTTGAAAGGGACCTTGGAGGTCTTGGAGGTCCAGCCCCCTGCTCAAGCAGGAGAACCTATACAAGTGATGGCTAACCTTTTCGGCACCAAGTGCCCAAACCAGATTGTGTGTGTGCATGTGCCGGAGCACCAGAAACTTGAAGAACAGCTGGCTCGTGTTTCCCAGGCTGTTTTGGGGGCCATTTCAAGCCTGAAAAATGTCCTGAAAACATCCCAAAAAACAATCTAAAAACAGCCCAGGAACAGCCTGGAAAATGGATGTGTGCGCCAGACACCCGAAGAGCAGCTGGCAACTGCCCACATAGAGGGCCCTGCGTGCCACCTCTGGCATGTGTGCCATAGGTTTGCCATCACTGCCCTCTTCCATTTCAGACAAGTGACTGCCCAGTCTCTTCTTTAAAAACTCCAGTGACGGAGCGCCCACGATTTCTATTCCACTGGTTCCTTGTCCTCCTTAATTCCAGGTTGCTTCCCTCTTTGGTTAGTTTCCAAAGTTTAGTTAGTTGAGATCAGAGGCTGGCCAGTTTCCAGGATGGCTACTGCAAAAACAGGCTTAGACATGGAAGGAAAATGGTGCAAAACATTCTCCTGCTGCACCTACCCACCCACCCACCCCTGGCTAACTTATCAATACTCCCTGGTTTTGCATGGCCCACTAAACTACAGGTAGCCCTTGTTTAACAAGCAGTTGCTTAACAACTCTCTGAATGGATGGTGGACTTACCAAAAAATACTTACAGCCAGGTTCTGGAGTTCTAATGGGCTGAATGCAGACACCTATAATCTGTATTATTTGGGGTGTTTGGATCATCTTTGCACCCAGTGGCAGATTCTTTTTGCTGTAAAAAAAACACCCATAGGATTACCTTGATTCACTTAATGACCGTCTGAGAAGTTGAAACGAAGAGGCACATAGTTTCATTCTAGCTTATGGACACCAGTTCAAGGATCAAAAGTGAAACAGATCAAAAAATCACCTCCACTTCCAATTTTCGTGACGGGAGAAAAGTGTTATGAAATTGAAGACATTTTAGATTCTAGATATCATCGGGGAAAGTTACAATAGCGAGTTAACAACCGTGGCAATACAAGGTGCAAAATTGAGTGTTGTTACACAAGTGCCTCAACTTACAACCATCATGATTTACATTGCAAATTCAAGGCTCCACTATAGAATGTAATGTAATAGAATAGAATAGAATAGAATAGAATAGAATAAGGTTTAAGGTTTAATTTTATTTATAGGCCGCCCAATCCCGAAGGATTCCGGGATAACTAAACTAAATGAGAATAGAATAGGAATGGAATGGAATAGAATAGAATAGAAGAATTAAAGGAGAATAGAAGAATTAAAGGAGAATAGAAGAATTAAAGGAGAATAGAATAGGAATGGGATAGAATAGAATAAGAATAAAATAGAATAGGAATATAGAATAGTATGGAATAGAATAGAATAGGAATATGGAATGGAGTAGAATAAGAATAGAATAGGAATATGGAAGAGAATAGAATAGAATAATAAAATGAGAATAAGAATAGGAATGGAAAAGAATAGAATAAGAATTAGAATAAGAATATAGAATAGAATAGAATAGAAAATACACAATGGAAGAGAATGGAATGGAAGAGAATAGAATAATAAAATGAGAATAAGAATAGGAATGGAATGGAAGAGAATAGAATAAGAATTAGAATAGGAATATAGAATAGAATAGAAAATACAGAATGGAAGAGAACAGAATGGAATGGAATGGAATAGAATAGCAATATAGAATAGAATAGAATAGAATTCTTTATTGGCCAAGTGTGATTGGACACACAAGGATTTTCTCTTCGGTGCAGAAGCTCTCAGTACATACAAGCAATAAGTGATAAATTGCGATCAAAGTCCCCGTAAAAATATATTCATCATAAATCATGAGATACAAGACTTAGGGATAGTCATAGGATACTAAATAAGCAATCAACCTACTGGGATACTACATAAACAATATAAATCGTAAGATACAAGCAACAGAGTTATAGTCATAAGAAGATAAGGGGAGATGGGCAATGGGAAAGATAAATACAATTATAGTAATGCAACCTTACTAGTAGTTTGACAATGTTGTGGAAGTTAGTTCTTTCGCAGAGTGATGGCATGAGGGAAAAACTTCCATTGCGTCTAGTTGTTCTGGTGGGCAATGCCCTGTAGCCGTGATGGCGAATCTATGCTACATGTGCCAGAGGTGGAATGCTAACATTCCACATGCGCTGTTGCCCCAGGTCAGAACTTTATGGCGTTTCTTTCCTGAGCTTCTCGTTTTCCTGCAAATGACGAAACAGAAGCTCGCGAAAGAAACGCCGCGCTGCCGGTGTTTTAGAGGTGGGCTGATCGGCCGAACCAGGAGTAGTGGCGGCCGGAGGCTCCGCCCAGACACTTCTGTGCATGCGCAGAAGCATTGCATGTGTGCAGGAGCGCGCCCGAACCAGTAGTGAAAAAAATTGGCAGCCCACCTCTGCGGTGTTGGGATGCCCCTCCTCCCACTGGCCAGCTGGTCTTCGGGTCTCTGTTGCGCATGCGCACATTCGAACATGTCCACGCGCACGTCCACGCAGCTGTTTTTCACACAACAGCTGCTGCACCCCTGTGATCAAAATTTGGAGAGTTGGCAACTGGCTCGTATTGATGAGACTTGCAGTGTCCCGGGTTCAATGCTTAAGTAAGTTTCGCCCCAATTGTATGACCTTTCTTGCCACAGTTGTTAAACGAATCACCGCAGTTGTTAAGTTAGGAACACGGTTGTTAAATGAATCCGGCTTCCCCCTGGACTTTGCTCATCGGAAGGTCGCAAAACGGGATCACCGGGACGCTGTGACCGTCATAAATAGGAGCCAGTTGCCAAGTGCCCGAATGTTGATTATGTGACTGTGGGGCCCATTTGGGGGGGGGGGGGCAATCCTGTGCCTTTTTTTTAGGGCCGTCGAGACGTCGGACGGTTACTAAATGAACAGCCGCAAGTCGAGAACAACCTCTATTCTATATTTCATTTGTTTTTCCAACCCACATTGTTTGCATCTTGGCGGTCCTTGTGTGTCTTCCCTCTGCATCTCTCACACCCTTCCCTTCTCTTCCCAGATGTGAGCCTACCTTGCAAAGCTTTAACATCTCAACCCAACCCAAAACGGCAGGAGTGGAAGTTCCAGAAAGATGGCCTCACCCTGCTCTTCTACCACGCCGACAAGTTCACGGGTGGGTATTCCGACAGAGCGTGCCATGACCCGGGGCACGGCACGGAGGCAACGCAGGCAGCTGGCAGTTCAAGCCGCCCTTTATTGCTCCAAATTTCCCCCAAACGCTCCCACGTTTCGGGCAAGTCCCAGAGCAAAGTGGTGGCAAACACACAAAAAAACACGAAATCCAGAAAGAATGCAAGGAATCCAGGAAAGTTCAGGCTTTGTTCCCAACAAATTCCCCTCCTTAAGTCTCAGTCCCCAGGTGTGCCTTGTGAAGGGGGGCAGGGCGCTCTCCTCCCAAGTAGCCAGGTCAGTCTGTGCTGTTCTCGCCATCTCTCCACTCTCCATGCTCTTGGATCAGGAGCGGGTGGTCCTTGCCCCTCGCCTGAGCTCTTTCTCTCATGTTCACCGCTTAGCCTCACTTGGTCATCCTACCCGCCCTTCCTCCCTGCCTACAAAGTGTCCTACTCCTGAAAGGCCTGACCGGCCCTGCCCTTCCCCATTTTCCTCCCAAGCCAATGAAGCTTCCCCCTCGATCTCCACCAGCTCCAATTCCTGCTCATCTTCCTCATCATCGGGGCATGACAGGGTGGATGGATTACTCAGTGGTCCACTTTCCGAGCTCTCCGTGTGGCTCCAAGTTTGTTGGGGTCTAGAACAACCCTTTGAACCAGGGTGCTTCCCAATGGTCTAGAACAATAGTGTCCAAAATCTGCTGGCTGTGGATTATGGGACCTAATCAAAGAAATCTGGATGGTGCCAGGTTGGGGAAGAAGCTGAAGTAGCGCCTATCATCCAGGTCCTGGTTGCCCCAAAGGTGTTATTTTTTCAAGAGGCAACTGGGCTTTTTGGTGTTTCTTTGAAGACGCTTCCCTTCTCCTCCAAGAAGCTTCTTCAGCTCGGACTGGATGGTGGGGAATGGAAGGATGATTAATCTAGGTCAGCGATGGCTAACCTTCTCCGGACCGAGTGGCCAAAGTGTGGGCGCGCACCCAAATCCCCCAAATGCAATGCAGGTGCGCCCCCTGTGCACGTGTGCGCTGGTCCCGCATACACCCCACAAGCCCCTGCATGCATGCCCACCCCGAGTCCCAAGCGCCGCATAATGGAGTGAGCTCCCGTGACCTGTCCCAGCTTCTGCCAACCTAGCAGTTCGAAAGTCTGTAAAAATGCAAGTAGAAAAATAGAGACCACCTTTGGTGGGAAGGTATAACAGCGTTCCGTGTGCCTTTTGTCATTCAGTCATGCCGGGCACATGACCACGGAGACGTCTTCGGACAGCGCTGTCTCTTCGGCTTTGAGACAGAGATGAGCAGCGCCCCCTAGAGTCGGGAACGACTAGCACAGATGTGAGAGGGGAACCTTTACCTTCAAAGAGAGAGCAACTTAAAGAGAATGAGAATCTTTTTATACACAGTTCAGACATGACCGAATTTCTGTCTTTCAGCTAATTACAAGGATCGGGCCACCTTCACCCCATACGAGATCCAGCTCAAGTCGGTGACACGCAAAGATTCGGGCACCTACATTTGCGAAGTCCTCGGAGATTCTTTCGGGGAGTCGGCAGTGAAGCTGATTGTGCAAGGTACCACTTCCAAGCCCCCCGGGCCCTCTACAGTTGGGGAAATGGGTCGTTTCAACCGAGCAAAACATGAACAGGGATCTTTACGAAAGGGCTGTTGGGTGCAAAGTTCTTAGCATGAACACGGAAGAGTTTGCATCAAGTCTAGTAAGAGCCACGGTGGCGCAGTGCTGAGAGTGCAGTACTGCAGGCCACCTCTGCTGACTGCTGGCTGCGTGCAATTTGGCAGTTCAATCCTGATTGATTCAGGCTTCCATCAGTAAAACGAGGACCCAGATTGTTGGGTCAGAGCAGCGGCTGGGCTGCTGCCTGCATCGCTGCCCGTTCGCCGCACAAAATTTTTGCGCATGTGTGCCTTTGCACCTAAAAAAGGTCTGTGCATGTTGTTCTGCGCGTGGGCAAAACAGAAAATCAAAAGGGCGCTGCCGAGGATAAAACCAGTTCGGGCGCGTGTCCAGCCGAGTTACTACCTACTCAGCTGAACCGGAACAAACGAGTAGGAACCCACCTGTGGGTCGTAGTAGGCTGACTTTATAATGGATGGTGAAGTGGTGTTGCTATAGCTTTCAACAAGGTTTAGAGCAGTGTTTCTCAACCGTGGCAACTTGAAGATGTCTGGACTTCAAGTCCCAGAATTCCCCAGCCAGCAAATGCTGGCTGGGGAATTCTGGGAGTTGAAGTCCAGACATCTTCAAGTTGCCACGGTTGAGAAACACTGCTCTAGGGAGCAACTTCCATTGCTTTATTGTCAAACCCCAATGACCAACTTGGTGCCATCCTACC